TTTCTTTAACCCTTTCTTCGAATTTTTCAGCAAACAGGTACCAACACCTAATTTCTTCTTGGTAGGCTCGGGTTACATATTTTTTTGCCCGGCTTGCATTATAATATAACTGGAGTAAAGTTTTTGGTTTCGATTTTCCAGTTTTATTTTCTCTATTATTATCATCAATTGGTTCATGAGGCATAGACAGTTCTTTTATTAAACCTTGCACTTTTTCAGATTCTATAGATTTTGTTTCACTTCGGGGATAGCTCTACACTGTTTACAGATAATTTACTTACCGCTCCTGTTAGATTAGAGGTTTCTTCACTTTCACCTTCCACTGCCTCTATCATATCTACGTCCTGAACTTCAGCTGACGTCGGTCCTTCATTATCTACGAAACAAATGCGACAAGTTTTTTGCTTACCTCTATTACTTTTTTCAAGGCAGTCATGATAGAGAGTATGACCACACACTAACATAGTAAATGCTTTGGGTGGATTTAAAAAAATTTCTTCGTTGCATTCATGACAATTCTTTAGCTCTGGTATTGTAATATCGTTTGCAAGAGAATTTGGATGTCTTTTTAAGATATTTATTCCTAAAGCTTTTAATAATTCTAATCGTTTGGGGTATTTTTTAGCAAGTTCTCCTTAGCTAAATGGTTAAAGACTCATAGTATAGGCTACAATAAGTTGGTTAATGATTAAAATTTTTCTTATCATTTTATACTTACCTGATTATATATTATTTTTTTTTACTGCTCAGGATGGTTCGATAGTTAAAAAATAAACAGATATAATACCCAAATCAATACAATTACCTGAATTTTAACCAGATAAGTTTTTGCAATTTATTATACCATTATATAATATACTCCTTGTTATTAACAAACCAATTTGCAGATTTTAAGAAAACTAATTTCAGATTTGATGATTTGTTTATTCACAAATTATTTAGTATGAACCAGAATTGATCAATCTACTGACAATTCTCAATTTATTAGCATTTTGATAATACCGATTTTGAGCATGTTTTACAAATATTCTAGCAGGTTGATAGAGCCATTTAATTACTGCATGCTGGATTATTTTAGCTGAATTAATTTGTTTTTTCCATAAACGATATGTCTTCTGGATAATTAATAACACACGATTTTTTTTATATAATGCTAGTTGAACTTTAAAATCTCTATATTTAGAGTCATTACCTATTTGCTTATAGCTAGTCAAATTATTTTTAATATGGAATACAAAGTTTTCCAATAGTTCTTACTACTAATATTATATCCTAGTATTAATAAACATCTTCGTATATATTCAGATGGATGATACTTTGCAAATTGTAACCAAGCTTCTGCATTTTAAAATTATTGATGTAGTTTAAACCATATTCGTTTAACATGTATCAGGTATAATTATTTTTTGTCCATTCTTTAAAAATATCTTGAATATTGAGCGGGTTATATAAATGCATTATATATCAAACGTATTGTTTTATCTAACTAAGATGATTTTATTTCAATTTTTACTTATACAGGCGAACGAAAAAATAAAGTCTAATAAACGTTATCTAAACTACTCTTTGAGAAAATTTAGATATTAGTTTTCATCGAAGATGTAGAATAATCTTGCCTGATTATATGGTTTCCTCTTTTTCGCATATTGACTATAATATATCTCTTAGATGGAGAAGCATGGTTATCGAGTGAATGCTGAAGGGCTTTACTAGCATAAGTGTTAGCTTTCAACACATTTTTAGGCCCATGTGCTACAGAAGCAAATACTGCCTCTAATTTGCATAAAGAGCTAGGAAGTAATGGCTTACCGCTTTCTGAAAGAAACTCATCTTTTTTTAGAAACGTACTTAAGTATGTAGATCCAAGCTTTCCTGGATCTCTTAACTCCCCGGAAACGATTGCTTCCTGAATCCATGTAAGCAATTCTCTTGCTCGATCTTTATTCTTTTTCAGTGATCTAAATATTCGAGGGATGTCCTGTTGATCTCAGTTTTTTGCATATCCAGTTACGGCCCCATTAGATATACACAAGTTTTTAATTTCAGCAGGACAAATACAGAGCATAATCATTACATCAGCTAGGGCCTGCTTGTCAGGTATATTGGATATGTTGTACCCATCCAATCTTTCCTTAACTAATTCTAATAAAAAGTGGTTCAGAAAATCAACCCCTTCATTTTCACGTTGCTCGCTACATTCCTGTTAGATTTTATTAGATTTTTTGGTTATCTTCGGGTTTAATGTAGCAGAGATTATTTTCTTTGAAGCATTGAGAGTTCACAATTCTCTTTGAAACCTAGAAAGACGAGATAAGGCAACGACAGCATCAGAGGATGTTTTCTCTAAGATTCTAGATATTGCTTTTACTTCTCTTTCGCTAAGTTTATCTCGTATAATACACTGAGCCATTTATTTAATAGTCTCCTTGGAACTAGTACTATCTAATACTTGATATATATTTACTTCTTCAGCTTTCAACCCTGGTCCCTCTGGGACCAGTGCTTGACTTTTGCATTGCCCGATTCTCTGAAGAGGAATCAATGCAAATGCCTACTCTTTGCTAAAGCTATACCCTTTTATAAGACGATTACGAGCCTAGTGCCTTTTATCTTTATTATCTGTTAAGAGCTCAAATATTTCCAGTGCATATTGGCTAAGCTCTTCGAGACTAATCTCATTGGTGAGTTTGTGGTTTATGACAAACTTGGTTGTGACAGCAGACATGATAAGGTATGTAGAATATATGTGGTAGTTAGACTAATCCGTAGTATTTAGATTATATATTGTGGAAAAAAAAAGTTCAATTCGAAAAATTTTCTTAGAGCTATGCTTCTTCAGAAATGAAGCAAAAAATAATGATATAATTTATGCTCTGGTCAGAAGTTTTACATCGATTTAAAATTTACAGGTAAATATGCAAAAAAAGATACATAGTCACAGAACTGCTATTCCAAAACTATGAATAAATCTTTCTCAAAAGAATATTATAATTATATTTTAGTCAAGTAACTGTGTTAGAGCTAATATATGCTCCGGCCCTAAAACATCTGTTTTTGTAAATGCGTCATATAAAGCACCTGGTCTATACTTTGAAGTGGTTAAATTCGGCTGATGGAGAAATTTCATAAGTACACCATTCCTCCAAGCTTTCGTTTCTTTATGTCTCCAACATAATTTTAATAATATGATCAAATTTTCATTAAAATAGTCCAACTAGACCAGATTCTGAAGTGAGGATCGTTTATTTTTTTTTTGAGTAAATAGACTCATTCCACCCTTAACGGCGGATCTCACACTAATAGAGAACCTTCTGCAAATACCTGGTCTAGCTAGGATAGATAAGGACAGAATTAAGGCTAGATGGGAAAAGATAAATATATCATCCCAAATATTCTCTAAATAATCTAAAAGTTTATCAGTGTATATGAACCCACCCTTCATGAATTAATTTCTGGAATAGTTTTCCATTTGAGTTGATTCATTGGCCAGTTACTGTATTGAGTACTATTTCTGATTTGGGTTATATATTTTTTATGAACTTTACTCTCGGGCTCACGCTCTGCTAATTGGCCTGATGTATTCATAGTATAAGTATGAAATGGTATATAAAATATAGACGAGTGTTAGATTATTCTGTAGTATTCAGATTATATATTGTGGAAAAAAGTTCAATTCGAAAAATTTTCTCAGAGCTATGCTTCTTCGGAAAGGAGAATATTAAAGATGGTTCTTGTCTAGGTTAAGGGAGCGAAAAATATGATAACTTATATTGGGTAGTCCCTTTGGGACCCCACTCGCTCTGGCCGGAAATAGGTTTTACAAAATTTGAAATCTACAAGTAGATAGGATAAGCAAAAAAATAGCCACAGTACCCTCATTCCAAAGCTATAAACAAACTTAAGGTCTAAGTCCTATTTTGTGATTACATTTTAATAAAGTGCTCACACTAAAGCTAATATATGTTTTGGTCCTAAAACATTTGCATCAGTGAATGCATTATATAAAGCACTCAGTCTATGTTTCGAAGAAGCTAAATTCGGGTGATGGAGGAATTTTATAAGTACATTTCTTCTCCATTCCTGTGTTTTTTACTATTCTAGTCGATTTTTAATAACTCGTTTGTAGCAACAGTTGGTATGCTTATTTTTACGATATTTTCGGATAAGAGAAACAACCTTTTTCTTTTTAACATGAACATGATGAATCAGATATTCAAGGCTCTGCCTCTTCTTTCAGGGTTTTATTGGGTCGAGATTATACCAGTCTGAATCTGTGGATTCTGAATCGGAGCTGGATGAATCAGTCTCTGTTTCAGATTTGTTGTGAAATATTCCATGACATTTCTTTCGTTGCTTATTATTATAAAACAATGACCCTTCAAGTCTATCTTCAGTATTTGAGGAAATTTTGTTAATTATATTTATAACCTCCATTTGAGCTAGACCAGATTCAGATTCTGTTGATTTAGAGACAAAGTCCCATGATTTGGAGAATCGCCTAGGCACGTAAATGTCATTGTTCTACAATACGGCCTGCTCTGCAATAGATAAGTTATTTTTAGTGGAGCTAGCTTTATGGCTCGAAGAGTCACCTGTAGATTTGCTATCTTCTTCGATTAATGGGATACTCATATCATCTATCTCAATTTTAGCATAGCACTTACAATTTTCCAGAGAAAATCCAAAGCTAATTTTTGCTTTGCGCATCCATAACCAATCCTGTCCTAGCACCAAATCAAATGATAGATTTTTGCGAATTTGAAAATCTATTACTTTGATACCATCTAAGCTTCGCCATTTTCCTTTATACCGAAATTGCAAATCTGAGCATTTTATTTCTTTGCCTATCAAATCATCACCAGATATACCTTCTAACCTATAATCTTCTTCAAGCTTATTATAC